ATTCTCCTCTCTCTTCTCTCTCTCTCTCTCTCTCCTATCTCTCTCTCTCTCTCTCTCTCTCTCTCTCTCTCTCTCCTCTCTCTCCTCTCTCACTATCTCTCTCTCTCTCTCTCTCTCTCTCTCTCTCTCTCTCCTCTCTCTCTCTCTCTCTCTCTCTCTCTCTCTCTCTCTCTCTCTCTCTCTCTCTCTCTCTCTCTCTCTCTCTCTATATATATATATATATATATATATATATATATATTATATATATATATATATATATATATATATATATATATATATATATATATATATATATATATATATATATATATATATATATATATATATATATATATATATATTTCTATTTCTTTTATACTTTGTTGGCAATTCATTACACTCTTGATTATGCAAATTGATTAGGATAGAAGTTTTTTTTGAAAAGTTTAAATCAATTTGTTGTTGTTCTTACAATCACTTTGATCATAAGATGTTTTAACATCAACAAAATTCAAAGGAATTTTTGGAAAATTAAAGTGCACAGTAGGTGTTTGATAAATTGTCTAAGTAAGTTTTTACCATCGATTTCATTAGAAATAGGTTACTTAATTGATTGGGTTCAAATTGTGTATTGAGAATTTTATGTGTTGCTCACTTATCATCTTTACTTAACGTGAATTGATTGAACGCATAACTGAGCTCCAATAATCGTGTGCGTTTAGACGATTTCGATCTAGGACACAACTTCCGCTAACCATTGTTTTTAACGTGATTTAAAAACTGTTTTAAACTGAAATTTGAATTGGGTAATATTCACCCCCCTCCTCTAGATAAGTTTGAAACAACCGGCTGAATAATCAATTGATTATGAAATCAATGAAGTCGCTATCGAACGTTTTTTATCCCACAAGAAGGGAAAGGTAAACATCGAGTAAACCTGAGAAGGGTGAAATCACGATCAAACGACCGAGAGATCGGGTAAGGGAGTCTATTATACAAGGGGAAGGTATTATCACCCCACACACCCGTAGTACTCTATAACATCCACTCTTGTTGTTCTAATTAAAGGGTGTGTAAGAATATATATCTAAGGTGTACAGGGAACGCATGCAAAAGAAAGGAGAAAAGAATGTAGGGAAAAATAAAGTTGTGCTCGTTCGGACCCTACCCCAATGCCTATGTATCCCTTTTAAGGAATCAGAGAAGTTGTAGTTCGGCTTCAAAATATTTATTGGTTTTCATTTTTAATGAACAATATTAATTTCGCCTTCTACCGTAGCTCAGTCTTTGGAGACTCATGCGTTAGCATAGAAGTCAATTAACATGTTCTTTTTGAAAAGGTTGGAAAGAAAAGCCCGAAGGCGCAAAAGAGTTGTATTGGTTGATATTTTTTACCTTAAAAAAGATTTGAAATTTGTTAAATGTCTTATGTTTTTTTCAAGAAAAAGAGAGTTTTAGTCTTAATGCAAGGATATAAAAGAAAAGAAAACCTCTTAGGGAGACTATCTAAATCTAACCTCTAATGTTATCATACAATGATTGATCCTAAGGTTGAATTTTGAGAGGGGAATCTCAAACCAATGTTAGCATGCATGGATTCCTATCCTAATGTCTAGCTCGAAATCTACTCTAATCAAGCGATCTTAAGGGAAACATACAAATTCCTATCCTAAGGGAACGTGGTATAGCAAACAAATAATCAAGAAAATAAGTAAACAAGTGCTTTGGCAAAAACACACAAACATACTGACTCAAAGGGATGGGGAAACAAAAAAAAATGATTTAGCTAAGGGGAGCGGATCACCCGAAGAAAACAAGCGGGAGACAGATGTAAAACAAAAAGGTGATGTCCAAAGCGACTGAACACCTGACCAAGATATAGAAGATCGAGGTAGGCGATAGAAGACAATATGAACGATCATAGAGTATCAGCAATGACCAATGCAAACTCCTGACAAAGCGTGGGGGTTTAATTGCAAATCCCTTCCCCACTTGACGGACTCGATACACAAGATATGCACGACTCCGAAGCATCAGCGCACAACGTGAGCTAAGGATGACACAGACTAGAATGTGTTGGGGTCGATTATGGACCCTCCCCATTTTCCTCCTTTTGAGTACTTATCATCTGTAATACAATACGGGCAAAAATGTAAACACACGTGCAAAATACCTACTGCAAAGGTAGGATTTTAAACAACCATAATTAGCATATAGAAAGCGGTGCCTGCTACAGGACTTTAAACAGTGACTTCGAGCACACTCTTTTTATTTCTTGCTTCCTACTTCACATTATTTCTAGAAATCGATAAATGCCCCTACTATACATAATCTCTAGAAAGTGGTAAATGCTGAAATGAGGTAAATAAGAGAAAATACCAACCGAACAAAAGTCTGTAGCACCGCAAGCAAAGAAACAGAAAAATCTGGGAAACTTAGAGTAAGCTTCACCAAGCAAAGAAAAGAGTCAGAAATTAAATGCTCGAAACAAACGTAGAAGCATCATCAATGTGAAAATAAATCACAAGCAGAAAGTGCGCCAAGCATGTCCAAATATCACACGATAAACCTGCATAAAGCTCAAATCTCAACAAGCAAAGGTGAATTACAAATCTCAAGTAATCGGATAATTCTAGTTTAATTCTTAAAATCAAGTATAAAAAATATACCTAATTTTTATATTTGATTTTATTATCTTTCATGTGAAGAAAAAGTTCAAACAAATCTAAACAAATATCAAAATTATTCAAAAGAAAATTGCGAAATAACAAACAAAAAAAACAAGTCCATGGGGTGCAAGTTAAATCTAGTGCTACAGTGCAGTAAATACAAGTGATACTAGGGCCCAACAAATTGAGTCCATGAGCTAGTTTTTATTCATACTTGTTTCAGGCTGTCAAAAAAACATTCCACTGGGCTTTAGAGGAGAGATGCAGATCGGCCCAGTCCACACATATTAAGACTCATACAGATTTTTGTATATCTCAAATTTTTTTAAGAAAATAACAAATAATGAATTAAATTAAAAAATAGAAAGGGATTAGGGTTGATGTCATCGACGATTACACTTTTATGAACAGATAACCCTCTTTCCTTCCATGTCCGTCGATCTCAACCTTCTTCGTCTTCCTCAGAAAGGCTTACGACAGCGATCGTCCCCCTTTGTCCATCACCTCTGCCGATTTAACCTCATCATCATTTTCAACTCACTACTTCATATATGTCTCAGACTCAACCTTCGCTTCAGCCCGCGGCTATAACAGTTTACGAGTCACACCTCATAGCTCCATCAACTCTGCTTCAAACTCCTACAATGCCGTCACAGTGGCTTCATCTCACACTCCCGGAACCGCGGCTTTGTCAGTTCACAAAGAAATTTGAAGCAGAAGTGAACAACCACAACACTATATCCAACAGATTTACGAACACCAAGATGCAAAAATGATAAGCGGCTTAAGACTTTCTTACCGGAGAACTCTAGTGGTTCTTCAAGATTGATGAAATTGAGGAAAAGCAACAAAAGAATAATGACTCAAGTATGCATATAATTCTCGTCCTTGATTCTGCTTCTTCTCTTTTCTTTCGATGTCGAGCGTTTGTTTTTTTCTTGTGATTCTGTTATGTCACAAAAGTGATGTTGTTGTTGTTGAAGGTTGATGCTGAAGTAGAAGATGAAGATGATGCAGTGAAGCAAAGGCGTTGTTGAGGTTCAGAGAAGAGGTTTTTGGATATTTTTCTGTAGAATTGCAGTATTGTGGTTGAAGAAGAAAGCAGAGGGAAGAGAGCTTGATGGTGATTCTTCTGAGGTGATTGAAGAATGGTGTGAAGACGAAGTAGAAGATGAGAAGAATGAGAGCATTTTAGATATATTTTTTGGTGAGTTTCCACTATCCGATTTTCCTCTGACTTTTCTAGTAAAGAAATCGTGAATTCTCTCCCTCCTCCCCATCGTGAAAGGTGAGTCTTCTGTTATATAATTTCTGTTAGAAATCAGAAATTTAGTTACAACTTAAACGAATTTGAGCCATTACTTTCTGAAATCTGTTATAGGAATCGATGGCCGAGATTGAATCTGAGTTCTTGTTATGATTTTTTATTCTACTTGAACTGGTGGAGAGTAGATAAAACTGGTTTTTTTATTTATTTTATGGATCATTGATTTCCTTCTTGTTTTTCTTGCATCCCTTTCTAAATTTTTTGTTTCATACTGATATGCTGAACTGGAAAATCAGTTTACCACTTTTTCTTATGCAGATTAACTGAACTAATGTAATGTAATGGATACCGTATTATGCACATGGTTGTTTTGGATTCATTGTGTGGCCTCATTTTTCTTTCGAATGTCGGGCTGCAACCATTAACTTGGTTAACTGATTTTTGGTTTTCATGTGCGGGGTTGGTCGGTGTGTAGCTTGAATGGTGAAACGGTTATGGACATGAGACTTGTGAGACAAAGTATTGAATTAGATTTTGACATATATCATGAAGAGAGCCTTAGGATTCTGTTTTGTTTTCATGCATATGGAATTGTAACGATGATGATTTTGTATGTAACTTGTAATGCTCAAATCTTGTATGACTTTGAATGAACATGTAACCTCGAAAATTCAATAATAGTTTCCAAATATTCGCATCAAACTTTTATTTCACATTAGAACTTGAATTCTCAAACCTCCTTGGTTAATGTGTTCATAAAATGGAATAATATTTTGATGAAACTTCGAATAATATTGAATGGATGTTTCCTTAAGCCTTTGGAAGAATGATTTTTTGTTGGATCTCGATGAGTGATGTACTTTGTAATGACCATGGCTGAACTTTTATTTGGATGGAATTAGCATGGAACTTGAATGATTTCAATGATGAATTTTGTCATATTGAGTGAACCATAATCAAACCCGAATCCCCTATGTTTGAAGCTTAAAACCAATTCGTAAACATGAATTCTTGAAGTTAATTTGAACCATGTGTCAAGGTCTTGAAGTAAACCACTCTCCCAGATTTAAAATGAACTTGGAGAAGATGGCCACTTTAATGTCATGACTAAGTGGTGATCATGATGAACAAGGTAGAGACCAACATAAGATGGTGAAGGATATAAAGAAGTGACTTAAGTCCCAAATACCATATATTCCAAGCAATCCACACAACTATAAACCATGAACGGATTCTTTATGAATGCCACAATACCTCCAGCTCTTTGATTCAAATCACCAACCCCATCAGAACATTAAACCAAATTATCTCGTATTGTAAACAACAAATAATGATGAATCTTCATTGGAATCCCAAACTCCACCTTATCTAATTCAACCCTTTTGAGATGATTCCTTGAACAAACTTGGTGAAGGTGAAAACAAGTATTTGATGTAGACAACTTGCAAGCTTACCAGAGAATGGTCACGAAGCTCATGATTCAAACCCCAACCTCAAACCATGAGAACCAGTTAAATCAATATTGAGAAGTCATCAACCTCAATCCATGTAGAAAACCCTATTTCTCCGTATACATATCATGTCTTTAAAAAAAGACTTATAATCCAAGCAATGAATGAAATTCATTGAATAATGATGAATAAGCACTTCCATGTATAATGCAGAGTCTTCTAAATGAAGTATTGTAAAATGCCTTGTATTACAAGTGAAGCTTCCTTGAACCAAACCATAATTGACCATGAATACACTGATATTTCTTTAATGACTTACATTTCAAGCACTAATGGAATCCCCTGAGTGATGGTATCCACTAATAAACTCAAGAATTCATAAAGAACCCCTCGTGAATACGACATGACAAGGGAAATAAACCCTAGCTCATGTAGTTATGATGAACACAAGAAGGTGATGAACATTACTGTTGTACCCCAAAATTTGCCCTCTCATTTTACTCAACAAATGTCAAGTGAGGTCCCCAATTTGCTCAAGGTTTCCCAAGAGTTGACCAGACAAACTCTCTCCTAAGGCAGTGTGTCTCAAATTAGGGGTTCCTTTTTCATCAAGATGTGTGAACCACAAAGGACTAAAATGCTTCCCAAGGTCCTAATATGTTCCCAAGATCATCCATGTCAATTTTCATGCCTTGCACAAAGAAGTTTGCTCAGTCAACTGCTCAAATGCTTGAGAATCGACTGTATTAGGTCAAAAGTCAATTGTGGCCCACATACAGTTAAACCTCAATATTTTTGGTCAACACCAACATTTTGAAGTGTTATCCATCATTTGATCAAGGTTTGATCATGATTCCTCAAGGAATGCTCCAAATTCATCAAAACCCAAAAGTTGCTAAATTAGGGTTTCTTAGTAAAAGTCAACCCAACTTTGACCAAGCATAACTTCCACATGCTTTATCAGAAATTTTCCATCCAAAGCTCATTTTGAATAGGATGCAATTCCCCACAACTCATATTCATCTCACAAGTTCAAAATATGCGCTCATAAAAAGATATGAATTTTGACATTATGGGTCATTTTGAAAAGTCAACAAAAACACCTTTTGGGTCAAAGCTTCATACATGAGCATGGAAGACTCAATTGAGATGATACCAAAAGGGTTGATTAGGGGACATACTAAGCTTTCTAAAAAGTTCAAGAACACCTCTCTAGGGTTAAAATTGGAGGAGATATGCCTTGTCAAAGTTGACCTTTTTTGTAAAATTGCCAAAAGTCAAATGGGCTCAAAATTGCATTTTTTGCCAAATGGGCCTAACCTTTTATGCTTTCACCTCACTTATATTATGATCCATGACCCAAATATCCAACCTCATGTTATTTGATTCACTTTTCAATTTATTTTTATTTTTTGTTAATTAAAATTTCAATTAAATCAAATAATTGATGAATAATGAAAAGATATGTTGTGATCTGATTTTTGGACAGGATTTCAATCAAATAATGCAAGGATATCATGATCAATTCGAATCAAGGCTGATTGGTACAAGAAAGACATAATTTGTCTCAATATAGCAAGTTTACATATGCCATGAAAATCAAATCAAATCTTCAAAACTTTCAAAGATGTGATCTGTTTTTACAATCCTAATTCACTCTATGATATATATTGAACATATCCAAGGTAAGAACAAGGGTGAGAGTCGTGAAAAGAGGAAGAACAAAACTACAAAATTTCAAAGAAAAGTGTGAGACTAAAATCCACTCTAGAGCCAGCCTCACGGAGATTTAAAGATTCCAATCTATTCCAGGACATCTCAGGAAGCTAATAGCATCGTTTGCTAGCCTCAAAGCATCCAAAAATCGCCCCTAGGGATATCACAGTTTGCATTTTTTTTCAAAGTTTGAATCCATCGATTTACGCATCATAAATCTATTTTAATCACATATCCATGTTCACTGTCATGCTTGCAACATTTTTGAATGCTTTGATTTGAGTTTCTGCACAGGAATCACGTAATTCCATTGCTAGGGTTTACGAGTTTGTTTTAGGGGTTTTTAATACAGGAACAATTGGCTCTCATATTGGATATCATGATGATCAGGGTTTCAAACCCAGTTGATTCATGGTCACCAATTGAATTTATATTGCGTATACAAGATTTTTGAGATGGACAGGGTTATAGCTACGAACAAATGTCTGTAGGTAAAAGTGTTTTATCTAAAGCCATGGTCCAAGGAAGAAGATGATGCGTGGCAAGGCATGGTTGGCCCATTCAAATTTCGCGCGGTTTTTCTGGCAGGAGGCTTGATTTTTCTTTTGATTTTGTTTGTTTATTATATACACAACTAACAAGTCCAGCGCAGATGGTTAGGAAGCATGCCTTTGATGCACACGTCCTGGGTTCGATCCCAGGCGTGTGCATTTTGATATTTTCTTAATAATTTCAGACCAATTCCATGCAATACATCATCCCACGCCTATCTTGCATCATCAACACTCATTCTTGGATGCCAAGTTGGCTAGATCTCAGGCTTCTTCAATGAAGGATCATGGTGCTCCCTCAGGTCAATGCTACACCAGATCTCAAAGTTGACCAGACCTGGAGCTTAATGGGCCAAAGATTTTCAGATTAACACCCCCAACATTTGCTATTCAAGACAGGCCCATTTCTAAATCTTTTTTTATTTTATTATTTTTCTTTATTCTTTTCAATTTATTTATTTACTTTTAAAATCATTTTTTTATAAAAATCCCAAAATCAAGAATTCACAAATTTAGAATTAGTTTTATTATCAAATTTAATTTTTAATTAATTAGCGTAATTTAATTTAGGGAATCTTTAACTTGTTTTTATATTTAAAATCAATTAGAAAACTAGGTTTAAATTCTTGATTTAATTAGTTTCTTTTCTTCAAACAAAAACACAAAAAATAGGTGATTTAATTATTTGTCTTAACTTAAGTTAATTAGTAATTAGGTTCTTTTTTTTTTTATTCCTTATTTTCTTAAATAATAAAAAAACGAAGAAAAAATGATTTTTTTTCTTTAATCAATTGCAATTAGATTCAGTCAAGGGTCAAAACCCTAATTTCTCTCGCATTTAATTTTCCGCGCGCTTGTTTTTATTTTTGCCATTATTTTGTAACTGTTTCAAGGTTGTAATAGTTTTAATTAGGGTTTTAAATTTCGTGCTTTTATTTCCCGTCAAGGCAATTATGTAACTGTCAAAGCCATGTAATAGCTAGGTTTATTTCCGCTTTTACTATTCAGCAAATTATTAACTGTCTAGATGTATGACTAATAGGATTGTATGGCAAGAATGCATGAAAAAATTAAAACAGTTAGAAAACCCTAATGTGCAAAGATCAAAATAACTGAAACAAATCACTCGCACATGTTCACTCCTAGGGTTTACCTCACTTCGGCTGCCTTCGGTAAACAATCATTAAGCATAGGAGATTTTAGTGGTCACCCTCCAGTATAAAGAGATTAAATTGTCCCATTCGAATGTTGCCTCGGAAATGTTGCCTCGGAAAC